GGCGCCCGCCACTATGCCTGGCTATTTTTTTGTTGCAGTTTGGCCAGGGCTGGGTTTGAACCTGCTACCCTCTGTATATGGGGCCGGTGCCCTACTCCCTGAGCCACAGGCCCTGCCCAAGATTGATACATTTTTTTAAAACTTCTGGGGAAACAATGAAAATTGATTTCTGAGGTCATTTTCTTTATTACCAACAGATGAATGGTTTTGGAAGACTTGAACATTTTTCAGGAGCAGTATATGAAGGACAATTTAAGGATAATATGTTTCATGGATTGGGAACTTATACATTCCCCAGTGGGGCAAAGTACACTGGAAATTTCAATGAAAATAGGTAAGCATGAAATAAAAAAATCACTGTAGTTCTAAAACCTTTTTTTAGGTATATTTGCCTAGATATTACATTTATGCTAAATATTCTTTTGTAATATATTTAGTTTCTAAAAATTGTTGCATTATGTTTTGGTAGGGAAGTGTTAAAAGAGAGGCTATGTAGACTTTCATAAGCCTTTAAAAGGGGAAATCATTCTTTGTGATAATTCATTAGAATTTTCATTTGTCCTCTTTAACTCTCTATTCCTATAGAACCATTTGCAGTCAGCTTGGAATTAGAAATCTTTTTGCAATTTTTTTTTTTTTTGAGGCAGCGTCTCATTTTGTTGCCCTCAGTAGAGTGCTGTGACGTCATAGCTCACAGCAACCTCAAACTCTTACCCTTAAGCTGTTCTCTTGCCTTAGCCTCCCAAGTAGCTTGGGTCTATAGGTGCTGGCCACAATGCCTGGCTATTTTTAGAGATGAGGTCTTGCTCTCTCTCAGACTGATCTCAAACCTGTGAGCTCAGGCAATCTACCTGCCTTGGCCTCCGAGAGTGCTAAGATTACAGGTGTGAGCCACCATGTCTGCCCTTTTTGTAATTATTGAGAAGATTTAGGCCAAAAATACTTTGATTTGAGATATCTTGATATACTTTTTAAAAAGCAGCCTTGGGAGTAATATCATAATTGTTTATTTCATCTTGACCTGATATGTGTACATTTTTTTGTGTTTTTTTGTTTTAGTTTTTGTTTTGTTTGAGACAGGGTCTCACTCTGTTGCCTAGGCTAGAGTGCGGTGGCATCATGATAGCTCATTGTAAACTTCAAACTCCTGGGCTCAAAGGATTCTCCTGCCCCTCCCTTCCAAGTAGCTGGGACTACAGGCACTCACCACAACACCCATCTAATTTTTCTATTTTTTGTAGAGATGGGGGCCTTACTCTTACTCAGGCTGGTCTCAAACTCCTGGCTTCTAGTGATCCTCCTGCCTTGGCCCCCCAGAGTGCTGGGATTACAGATATAAGCCACTGCGCCCAGCCTATGTGTATACATTTTTACTAGGCTACTTTTTTAGTAAGCAAAATTAGTTAATTTTCTAATTATAGAAATGTACTTACTACTGTCTTTTCTAAGTATATGCTTATTGGAAAAATAAAAGTGAATAAAACGTGAGTATAGCTTTGTAAGCTTAATCTTCATACTGAATACCATGGTGTACCATCTAGAAGTTCAAATACATTTTATTAATACCCCTATGTTTCCAGAATTGAAAATGCAACCTAATTGCCATGAAGTAGACAATGTGAATATCTTTGAGAAGGAAATAAAAGTGTTTACCTCTTTTTTTTTTAAGAGGCATAGTCTCGCTCTGTCACCTAGGCTGAAGTGCATAACCCAGTCATAGTTCACTGCAGTCTCAAGGTTCTGGGCTCATGTGATTCTCCTGCCTCAGCCTCCTAAGTAGTTGGGACTACAGGCACATGCCATCACTTCTGGTTAATTAAAAAAAGAAGTTTTTTAAGAGACAGGAATTTTTTTTTCCTCTCCAGTAGCTGGGACTATAGGTGCCTGCCACAACGCCTGCCTATTTTTTGTTGCAGTTTGGCTGGAGCCGGGTTCGACTCTGCCACCCTCGGTATATGGAGCTGGCACCCTACGCACTGAGCCACAGGTATTGCTCAAGAGACAGGATTTTACTGTGTTGTCCAGGCTGGCCTCAGACTCCTGGCCTCAAGTCATTCTTCCACCTGAGCCTCCCTAAGTGCTGGGGTTACAGGTGTGAGCCACCAAAGCCCAGACGGGTTCACCTATTTTGACTCCAAGTCTGTGACAATAACACATAAACATTTTCTGTTGATGTTAATAAAGGGAGAAAAATCTAACCTATAGGATAAAGTTCTGTTTGTTTATGTGAAATGCATTTTTATCACTCCTAAGAGTCCAGGAAAATACAAGCACAGAGCACAGAACTTTTTTTTTTTTTTTTGACAGAGCCTCAAGCTGTCCCCCTTGGTAGAGTGCCATGGCATCACAGCTCACAGCAACCTCCAACTCCTGGGCTCAAGCGAGTCTCCTGCCTCCGCCTCCCAGGTAGCTGGGACCACAGGTGCCCGCCACAATGCCTGGCTATTTTTTGGTTGCAGCCATCATTGTTGTTTGGTGAGCCAGGCTGGATTCGAACCCACCACCTTAGGTGTATGTGGCTGGCGCCTTAGCCACTTGAGCCACAGGCGCCAAGCCAGAGCACAGAACCTTAAATATAGTTGATGGTCAAGAAATATTTGTTTAACAGATGAATGAACAAATTAAGCCAGGTAACCAGTATATAATTTTCATTTTTAATTGATTGTTTTGTTTTTGTGTAAACTTAGCTTATGTGATCCTAAAGTATTGGACACCAAAATTTGTAAAATGTCTTTTTGTTGTAGGAAATGAAAGAAGGATGCTGGGCTTTAAATCAGAGCTTGAAAGTGAAAAGATATAATGCTTCAGAAATAGTATATAATATGCTAGGGCTGTAAATTCTCGATCTTGGTTAATGAACAGACTTGTTTTTTACTATTGCAGGGTGGAAGGTAAAGGGGAATATACTGATATCCAAGGACTAGAATGGAGCGGTAACTTTCATTTCACAGCTGCCCCCGGCCTGAAACTGAAGCTCTACATGTAGGCGTTCTGCATTAAAGTCCTGGAAGCTTTTAGTTGTAAGGAAAGCAAAGCAACTATATCTGCTATTTGAAATTCACACAGTTCCTCTGTATTGTAAGCTTTCCAATAAAACCATCACTCACTTATGCATTTTTGGACTTTAATTTCAATATCTTATACTGTAATTAGTTATAAATAATGTAATTCAATTCTGAATTTGCTCATTTTAGTAACTGCAGCAGAACTATCCAGATCTTGGTAAAATCTATTTCCAATCTTGTGCCTGAGTTTTGTCATCTTACTGTTTTTTCTAGGTTATGTGTGTGTGTTTATCTTAGAAGAAAAAATTTCCCTGTCTTGCCCTTTGGAACTATGCAAATATTTTTTCCCTGTAAACTTTTCTTTTTCATTATTGTGGTAAGAAAACTTAGCATGAGATCTACCCTCTTAACAATTGTTAATTATGGGTACAATGTTGTACAGCAAATCTCTAGGGCTTATTCATCTTATTTGACTGAAACTTTATGCCCATTGGTTAGTAATTCTCATTCCCCCCTTTCTCTAGCCCCAGGTAACTATTCCTCTCTTTGATTCTATGAATTTGAGGATCTTAGACACTTCACACAAGTGGAATCAAGCAGTCTTGGTCTTTCTGTGACTAGCTTATTTCACTTAGATAATGTGTGCAATGTTTGTCCATGTTGTCACATATTGCAGAATTTCCTTCTTTTAAAAGGCTGAATAGGGTCAGCTCATGCCTGTAATCCTAGTACTCTGGAGGCTGAGGCAGGTAGATTGCTCGATTTCAGGAGTTAGAGACCAACCTGAGCAAGAGCAAGACCCCCATTTCTACTAGCCAGGCATTGGTGCCTATAGTCCCAGCTACTAGGGAGGACGAGGCAAGAGGATGACTTGAGCCCAAGAGTTTGAGGTTGCTGTGA